GACATAGGTAGCTATTATACCAAGTGGTATTAGATTATAAATCTCCTGGGGTATTTTACTAATGTGTCCTACAGCTACACTTAAAGGGACTGTCTGTACAAAAAGAAAGGTAACATATCCATTTAATACCCCAGTCTGTCAATGGAAAAACAAATTCTTCCAAAATGCTAAAAATGAACCCCCTGAGCCCAAGTGATAATTGGTGAACCAGCCAGCAGAAGAATCCTTTTCCTCCCCACTGTACTTTCAGTGAATGTCTACAGCATTTATAATTGCAAAACTCTTTTAATTGCCAATGTCATACCAAATACATTTTAATTACTGTTTCAACACTATGATTAATCTGTGAATTTATTAACTCTTATAACTCAGGGGGCTTAGCCGAGCCGGAGTAATGAAACCAGATTGTAATAAACCCACTAATTAACAAGTATATATTGAAAGCTGACTTTGAATTTACTTAGCCAAAAAAAAAAAGCAGATTTAAAAAAAAAATGTTTAATGCAAAATAAAACATCAGGTTTGTTCTTCAAGCAGGTTGCATGCACATATTAAATTAGTTTCTCTTTATGTTACAGGACTAACTATCAAAGTGCTAACTGAAAAACTACAGTATTATTGGTGACAATATAGATATTTACACCGTGTGTGTGTCTGTGTCTACAGTATGTATGTGTGTCTTTTAAAATAAATGCCTCCCGCATTATATCACTGCATGGTCCAGGCCTGACTTGACTAAACCAATAGGCTAACTGAACTTGTCAGCAGTCCTTAAGCGGGGATGTTTTCCATGTAACCACTACAGGAGGTATTTATAGCTCTGTATATGAAATCTAGTATGCAACAGATGGAACAGCAAGCAAGAAATATTTTGAAAAGTTTAAATTTCAGACATACAGTATATTTAACCCCCCACGTGATCCTGTGGTTTTGTAGCGTTCACAAGACACGCAAAAACACACATCACACTTGCAGTGCCATTTATTTTTAATGGCACCCCATATAATACAGTTGGTTGCTTTAAATACTGTTAGTTGTAACACGAAAGAAGGTTCCTTGTTACACATAAGAATATTTAAAGCAACGTTAAAGTATATCTAAAGCCAAATCCTTTTTTCATTTGGATAGAGTAGGGAAGGGTTAAAAACCCATCAGTTTGTCTTTGCTATCTGTATCCCATTGGGGAGATTTTCCTTCACATCATGTTCTGTATACACAAGATAATATATCTCCAAGGCTGACAAAATCCCCTTCATAGTTGTCACCAGAACAGGTGTCCTAAATGAAATATTTCCTCTCCTTTCTAGTTCTGGTGAAGACTCCAGACTTTGGATTTTCCCTCACTCAGTCTCAGTGATAGTGATCACCAGGGTGGATATCCCTGATGGAGGGACCTGATACAAACCTGATCAGGGTTCTAACCCTTCCCTAAACTATTCAAAACTAAAAAAAAGTTGTTGGTTTAGATACATTTTAAAGTAAACTTTTTCTGAGAGACATATATGGGCTCTCATTGACAAGCTCTTATTGAAAATGCTAGTTGTCTGGCTGGTATGTTAATTCTCTGACTTAAAAATGTGAACGTTTGACTCATCACAAACAAAAAGATCAGGAAAGTCAGAGAAAAATCAGAACTGTTTATCTGAATTCTTGTTCTGTATTAATAACCTAAACTGCTGAAGCAAAAGGGTCAACGTGACAACCTGGGAACTAGCATTTGCAGAATGAGAAGTCAGCATGCTTTCTTTGGGAAAGGTTTCCTCTAACAATCATAATAACAGGTTGTAGTTTACAGATAGTTTTAATTAAATAAAAGAGAAGATAAACACAGCATACAATGAAAACCAGTCACTTTGGGTCCTACTAAGCATATAAGTTATGTAAATAACTGTACCGCAACTCCAAACGACAAACATATATTAATAATGTATTAATACACACTTCAAATTGAGGCCTACCACCACTTATTTCATGTATATCCCCATGCCACATTAATATAACATATAATATTTATATGTGGAGCGGGGATCATGGGCAACAATGGTGGTTCATGTTAATTAGAAGAATATATTAATTTATTATTTATATCTGTTTGCGGCTGGGAGTATCAGTAGCATCATATACATCATTTAAATTCTTAGTGTAATAGGAGCAGTTATTGCCTTGTTAAATCTGCTGTCTGTGTTTACCCACCGCCATCAAAAACCAATCTGTAACACTTGCGGGATGTACAAGAGCAAGATCTGGAATGAGTCATCTGATCAAAGGCTTTAAAAGGGACCCGTCACAACACAAGTATAGAAGTTGTCTTTGCTGACTTGTTTTTTGAAGCTGCAGGATGTGTCATCCTGACAATGAAGTGTCTATTTCTGATTTGCACGCTCGTTCCAGGTTAGATCATTAAGACCAACTGAAGTCTCACATCTCCTTTTTTCTTTTTATACTCCTGTTACGTTGTATGCCATGATTTTTTTTCTTCTTCAATTTTTACTTAGGAATGGTCAGTCTCAATATTAGTGTAAATGTGTATCTTGGTCACCCAGTGCAGTGCTCAGTGCTGGCATAGAAGAGTGAGGGCTACAACCCTCATCACAAGTCACCTCACACAGACCTGTAGAGATACGGAAGAGATGGGGTGTATCTGACCAGGTCAGCTGGATGACAAAGTGCCTTGGGGACTTGGTCAAACTCAGGTGCTTATTGAACTTTACATAGTTCTTTAGACACCCTACACAACTGCTATACCAGGAAAGTAAAATGCAAATGGGTTTGTTAATACAATATCTAACTGAGGAGATACCTGATGTGACATCAGTTGAGCTTTAAAGCACATATCCAGGCAAACGAAAAAAAAAAGTACACTTACCCCCCACTGTAAGGGTTAACTGCTAGTTTTCATGTAGAGGCTGGAATAAAGCAGATTTACTTATTTGAACCTTGCTTCCCTGGTGGTCAGTGCTTTCCTCTTCTCCCCCTCCGGCTGTTGAAATGTCCCTCTGTGTCCTCACATCTAATGCAGGTCTATGGAACCCAGGGGAGATGAGGCTGCAGGGGCTGCTCTAGAAGCCCGAGGTAGCTGGAGGGAGCAGGGATCAGGTAAGTAAATCTGTTTTACTCCAGGTCCCCTAGACAAAAACACTTAACCCTTGCAGTGTGAAGGCAGTCTTACTGCAAGGAAACGTTTTAGTTTGCCCAGAGATTGGCTTTGAGTAATAAAGTAAGGATGAGGACGCAGAGCTTAAATCTTCAAAAACAAGTTAGTGTTAACAGCACCCGTGTTTTGATTCTGGCAGGTTCCCTTTGATGAGGGGGAGAGAGAGAGGCTGGGTGGACCGGTCTAAGAATGAGCCGGCTCCACAGTTCAAGTGAGTATAACTTTTTTTTTGTTTTTTGGCACCTAATCAAAAACGAGCAGTTAACCCTTGCATTGTAGGGGTAGCTCCACTGCAAGAGTTAATGAAAGTTTTCCCGGAGTTGTACTTTAAAGGTGGTCCTTGAACAACTCTTAGCACATCTCTAATTGTATTTTGCACAGTTAAGCTGGCCATACACTGTGCAAATTTTGTCTGGTTCTTGATAAACTGGCTGAAATTTGCACAGTGGCTGCCGCTGTTGGCACCCTTTTGGCCGGTATCCCTTAGCTGATCAGCTGATCGAAGTCGTTGGTCGGAAAATCTACAAATGAACAGAGTCGGCAGCCAATGAGCCAACGGCTCTGTTTGGGTATTCTGACAACAGCCACTGTCAGAAAACAATAAAGACAGCGGGAGATTTCTCAATCAACGCTCATAAGCATTGATGGAGGAATCTGTAATATTTTCTTTGCTCAGCCCGCAGGTTGAATGAATAAAATATTACAGTGTATGGCCAGCTTTATTCATACCATTGTTCATTAAATAATGCAGTTCTCATTAATACTTTGTCACTTGTGGCACTTTAAAACAGACATAACAGCGACTTGAAATATTTTCAATTGCTGTATGCTGTTAGTGGATTCATCCTTAAAATTTCAACACACTTTTTAGAGGCTACAGGTATTTCCCTAAATGTTTTCAACTCTTTGAACTGCTTCTGGTACCAATTACCAGTGCATGAAATATGACGCTGTTTCAGCTACAGGTGTAACCTGCAGATATAATTCAAGAATCAGGCACTTCCGCCTCTTCTCTCACTTCAGCAACCAGTGCAGACACTTCCACTATCAGCCTGATTAAACATTACTTAACAGGAAATTTAGTTAGAGGGAAATAATAAGAAAGATTACTGGTAATTACACACAGCACTTTTTTTATTTTTAAAATCATTACTATTACCATATTTAAAAATTATTATTATATTATTCTTTAAATTAACTTTAAAGTGACATTAAACCCTCAGATTTTTTAACATAAAACAATACTGTAATGTGTGCCTTACTGTAATCCATGGTCGTTTCCCTTCTCTTTGCTGCTCTTCCTTTTAAATCTGTATCTGTTCTCATGCTGGGCAGAACTTCTGTTTTGCAGCAGACTGCCTTGTCTCTGGAATGGCTACATGTGTATAGGTTTGCAACCTGAGCCAGCACTACAAGAAGAGGCACTCAGCTGCAAAGGGAAGTTCTCCCCAAGCATGAGACGACATGAGGATTTAAAAGGAAGAGCAGCAAAGAGAAGGGAAACTACCATGGATTACAGTAAGGCACACATTACAGTATTGTTATGTTAAAAAATCTGAGGGTTTAATGTCACTTTAATGTTTAAAATGATTTCAGTGATTGTAAATATGTAATACATGAACATTTATACCTAGTTTTTGCATTAATTTTCTCTTTAATAGAACAAGCTTGCACACAGGACAGTAAGTAATAGCAGAGAAACTTTGATGGTAGAAAAGCAAATCATGGCAAGCATTTTAACAGTTATAAATGAGAATATGCAAAGTTTCATTAGCGCAGCCTGTAAAGTGTGGCGAGAGATGAGAGAACAACGTTTACCATGAATGTCAATAGGAAAGTGCCTTACCTTGCGATGACAAACAAGACACAGCTGACTCCCAGACAGGCGAGAAGCACGTACATCCAAATATCAGGGGAGAGGGGGTTGAGGAAGGAAAAAACTCCAGGATTGGTACCGTTTGGTTTCCGGTATAGGATGCTGATGCCGAGGGTCATGAAGGGTTTGGAGAAATCTATGACTTTTTCTCTAACGTAGGTGATGGTCAGGGGGGCGACAGCCAAGTCTGCTTTCTGCAAACAGAGAGAGTTTTCTTATTGGTTAAAAGTGTTTATGCAACATTAATTTTAATACCTAAGTGGAGATGTACAAATGCAGAGCTATCCAATGCATTTAGCTTGCATTTGAGATGAGTTGCTTTTGACCTCCTTCTGGCCTGCTTCTGTATTTCAATTAGCTTGTGCAGGGAGCAGAGCAGCTCTGTATCGGAACAAATGCCTCTGTACACAAGTCCATAGGAAGCTTTTGAATCCCACAATGCAACACATGCAATGGGGGAATTGCAGTATTCAACTTTCTGAAAAGTCAAAGTGACTTTTTTTTTTTTTTACCCCCAGAGGAACCTCTCCAATCATGTTAGTGCCTCAAGGAACCTTTAACAACATTTTTTTATTGATGGTTAATGGCAAAAAAATGCTTCTTGCATTGGTGGTCAGTAGGAAGAATCAACCCTTGCAGTGGTGATCAGAATGCCTCCCTGACAGAAAGTTAAAAGGATAAACAATGTCATGATTTTGGCTTTGCTAAAAGGCGTGGGTCCTGAAACTATGCAGGCATCATCAAATGGAAGGTCAACTGGCCACAGCTCATGGAACCCCTAGCAACCTATGGAGGAACATTAGGGTTCCACAGAACCTTGGTTGAGAAAGGATACTGTATACTCTATTATGTAATTGAGAAAAAGAGAGGGGGAGGTTTTGTAGTTGAAATCAAGAAAGCAGAGATGATAGTGCTACTCCTACATAGATACAATGCATTAAGTAAGCGTTGTCACATTAGGAAAGGAAGTGTTTTTGGTAGAACCACCAGGTAAAATGAAACAAAGCTTGAAAAATGAAAAAAAGAATCCAGCTACCATATTTAAGGAATAGTAATCTGCAATATATTAAATTTTTTGTTTCTGGGTTTATGCCTTAAGGGAGTAGTTCACCCAAAATTGTACCATTTGACTTAAAGATGGATGTTAGTGGGCTGAACAAAAAAAAAACTTCTAAGGGACTCCAGTATTTAGATCCCCTCTCATTCCAAGCTCTGACTCCCCAAAGGCAATCTAACTCCATGTTGTATTCTCTATCAAAGTATCAGCAATGAAAATCCCCCTTTTATGACTGCAACAAAATGACCAACAAGTAAACTCTGTGCAGAGATCCTGGTTTAGAAGATGGTGAGTGACTCAACTCATGAAGTTCTACCTACTGCTGATTTTTTGGGGAACTGACCCTTTACTAGGGATCAAATCTGGAGAATCATTTACTCATGTCTGATTCATCTAATTATTTCTATGGAGCTAAGCTTAGTCTGTCGAGAACCCAGGCAATAATAATTCACAACTTGTATGATTGACCGTAAATTGGACAAATTTGCATGCACATATTCATTGTAATCAAAACTTTGTAATTTGCCTGGTTTAAGAACAAGTAAGCTTATCAATATTTTAAAGTGCACCCGTCAGATTAAACTATTAAAAATTATGGTAGGAAAGGGTTCACACTGCACTTTTTCAGTTATGAAAGAGCAAAGGGCAGGTTCATATTTAGAATATATTATAGCCGACATCTCTCGTTCCTGCTACTTAGGTCATTTTTTTTACACCCCTCAATGCCCTCACTTTGTAAACCGTGACAGGCTATGTTGATAGTGGGAACTACACGCCTAGGTGTGTGGGTTGCTGACAAATCTTGATGGGATGCGAGCTATGCATATGTCACGCACATGTCACTTATGATGTTCAGGCACATTGGCGCAAAATGACAACGGTATTATGACTTGATATTTTTCTTCAGTAGGTTGCATTTTGCTTACCCTGAATATGTGCATGCAGATTTGCACAATTTACAATCAATCTACAGTCATGTAGAGAGGGGTTGTATTTTTTCAATCCTTTAGAGCCACAAACCAAACCTAAGACTGATTGAATCAGATTGAGATTGAAGATTGAATCAGTTATTACAGCGTTAGTATAGGAATACCAACAGTCACACAACAAACACCTAAATGATTACTGATGCTGCTTACATGATCGATGAGTTCTCTAACCATTCCATTCCACTCTCCTTTGTCATTCTGTGCCCCATATTTGCCATCTGCTACCAGCTTCACTTCATATATAAAGCCCAAGATGTTGGAGAGTTCTTTCAGCAAATCCAGGCAGTAGCCCTCAAATCTGTCATTTCCATACAGCGGCTTGTCTGACTTCCTATACATTACGTATGGATCCTCCTAAAAGAGAGAAAAGTATGAATATAATTTGTACTATTATTAGGAAAGACTTTTTAAAACTCAACATACAATTCTGCAGGTGAGGACATATAAAGGATAGTATGGTGGCCTGTAGGGTAAAGTCTATCTAACAAGAACATAAATGTAATACAGTATATTGCAGCTTATTGATTCTTAGATGTGATGACTGCATTAGCTTTATTTATTTTTTTTCCCCTTTATTTTTACCTGATGATTTTGCCAGTAACACATTTCCTGTCATAGGGTGACAAAGCTCACTTATTGTATAAATGGAGAAGCAGCTATGTCACACTAGGACAGGAATTGTTTGACAACCGAACACACACCTCCTCTTCTCCATAACATGGGGGGTGTTCACAGAGCTAGCCTGGACAGGACCATAAGAGTGCTGGAGATGAAGCTGCAGAATACATGGGGCAGCACTGAATTTCTGGCAGGATCAACAGGTATTTTTTGACCTATCAAACAGATACAACAAAACACTTTTGATGGTATTTTTAACAGACCAATAGGGAGCAAATAAGAGAAGTTCATTGTGGCAGGGCATGGGCTCTGGATGCAATTCACACAAGGTGCCTATACCCCACAAAAAGAGGGTATCTTATCCCTATATTTGAAGTTGATTAGTCAGTCAGAGAAACTACACTATTTGTTGGCAAGGGAAAGAGTTGTGGAGGAAACAGCTGCCTTGCAAGAATGACAGATGGTCTCAAAAAAAATGCTAAGAACATAGTAAATACATTATTACTGGAATCCATTTATACATCACTATTGTGTTGGTATATAGTGTAAACTAGATCAGTACAACTCATTCCTCAAAACTCTCCTCTTGTTTCTGGGGTCATGAGGGCACCCTATTTAGCACATGGCGGACATGCCTCAAAGTCAAGAGCTTTAGCTTTATCCAATCAGATCAATAGTTCTAAATCCCCACCAGTAGCTTTATTATGTAACAAGATTCTGCAAATCTCTGAAATCATTGATTTCATTTACAGTTTTTGCTGCTAATTCTCTGGTGGTGCTCTCAAGCAGTACATTAAAGCCTGTGACACATTGCACGCAAAGCAGCGCGGAGTGGTGGTGCATGGACCTTTGTGTGCAGTATGTCATGTCATTTTCACTCCGGCCTGTCAGCTTGCAAGAGCTCGCAAAGCTTAGCGTGCCGAGATTCACAATGTCATCTTCAGCTCGCGCGTAAAAACCTGCACATCACCATACGATGTTTATTCGGTTGTAACGTGCAAGCCGATTGGCTGAAGATGCAGTTTTTCATCTGGCCGCGCTCAGCTCACATACTGCATGCGAACGTCCGTGCCTCGTAGTTTTGCTTTGCTCCGCACGGCTTTGCATGCAGTGATTCACGGGCTTAACACGAACATTGCACCAGAAAGCAAAGCCTGCTTAATACATCCAGCCCAGCAACCCAACTACAAGATAGAATGGAGGAGGGGGACCTGATGTAATACATGGACCTTGCTGTTTCAGTGCTTTCTTTATATTCCTGTACCCTGAATGTTATGATTTGTACATATCATAACGTGTAAAAAAATCAACCGCATTTTATCTCTATACAGTTGAATCAATAGCCAACGTGTGAAAATCAAATATGGACAATGAGGATGTCCAGTATAGACAAAACAGGTCGAACGTGTATGTGATGTCACCACGCTGTATACGGCAGACATGGATTTAAATGCAGGGCTGAATGGGGAGATCAGTGCTGCTGAGGGAGAAACATGCAACATACCAACAATAATAATAGCACAGGCAAGAGTGAGCTTTTATGTTGTATTTATATGTTTTCAATGAAAAGTTGTGTTCTATATCTATGAGGAAATTGTTCATTGCAACTGTCTAGACAAGTGAAACAAAGAGGAAACTGTGTCCACTAACCCCTAGTGATGGGTTTGTGACACCATCTATGCTTTTAGACCTTCTAGTATTGAGAGGTCATTTTAAAAAGGTGTCTTGTGGGAAACACAGGTGGAAGAGTTACACTAATGTTCTTGTAGTGGTATTCACACAAGAATTTGTATGGATTTACAGTATGACGTCACAGAATTTTACAATTTGTGTTTGAGTGTAGTCATGATCTGGAGTAACGAATGGGACAATTTAAATTTGTATTTGTTGTTATTAACACTTGTACATGATTGATTTTCACAAGTCATCACAAGTTTAGCTGTATAGAGATGGAAGGGGAGCGCTGTTTATGTACTAGTTCATGCTGAACTCTAAGATGAAAAAAGTTTTGGGGACAATTGTTTTTTTAGTAATAAATCACCTCAGTTATCCTAGAACAGATTAAATATTGGTGAGCCTCTTGCATGGGCAAAATATGGGTGACCATGGAGACCCAGTACCTCCGTAATCGTCATATGAAACCATACTTATTGGCCTCTAAGATGGTGCTACTCTTGCAAACATAACAGCTTTTCCTACTATCCAGGCCACTTTAGAGATCTGGCAAAGATTTAGCTTGACTCTAAATTGATCCAACTGCCAACAAGCAGGTATGAGAGTGGGAAGTATGTGCAGAAAAGGAGTGCAGAGAGTATAACAGTGAGCATTATGTGCTGGAAAGGAGAGTAGAGGGTATAACATGGGGCACTATGTGTAGGAAATTTGTGCAGAGGGTATGAGGTTGAGCAATATGTACAGGAGAGAATCCCAGAGGGCATAACATGGGGCAGTATGTGAAGGAGAGGCACGTTAAGGGATGCGTAGGCCTATGAATAAATGTGTAAATATTTTTGATTCCTAATCAAAAAGCAAAGAAAGAAATGGAACATTTTCCATCACATCAGAAAGTCTCTGCAAGTGGTTAAAGACCAGCCCATTGGAGGTCCATATCACACTCTGTTATTAGCCCTAGATGGTCTCAATTAATGGTCAAGTCTGTCACATTGCTTGTATTTAGCTATGAATGGGCACCCTTACATTAAAGGTAATTATTATGTGAAGTCAGTTATTCAGTCATTTGCATTGGAAATACTTCCAGTATAATTAGTCCATTGAGTCTGTAATTGGATTTTCCCTGGATTTATGCAAATCTGTACCCAACACTTTGGCACATTGACCCTCCACTAGCTGACAGCTAACATCTCTGCACTTGTCTAAAGTCTGTGCACTTATTTCCAAGTCAGCATTCACCTTATAGTTATCAGGCTTCATTACAATTAGAAGTAGAATGTTAGGAGTAAGCAAAATACCTGGCTATACAACTATACAGCTGTTTCAGGTTTACTGGTCATCTTTAGTGTTGTGCACTGATAAACTGTCTGGTTAACTTTCTCTTTGGTCCACAAGCCCTACTCCATAAGAGCCATTGTTCAAATATACTGCACTAATGATGGTCAACAAGCCTGAAATAGCTCTTTGGCTGTCTATTCTGAGCCAATGTTTGTGTTAGGAGCAGAGTTTTATATTCCAAGATATGTATGCAGTTTCCTCATTCTAATCAAACATGAGCTATTATGTACTGCAAATCCAGGCAGGAAAAAATAGCAGAAGAGCTGATGTTGTTTAGGAAAGACTTCAACTGCATATCCTCTCAGTTTATGCTCATCCGATTTTGGTATAATTAGCTGTAACCTATTTTTTCAGTGCACTTCTGGATGGCACTATAGCCCCATGTCCATCCAATCACCATTTTATGCTTCAATGTTTGAAAGAAGTTGCAGTTTTCTAGCAGAAAGGAGGGTGCTGGAACCAGTGAACACATTTACGTGCATTTCTACAAGTGCACATGCACAGCCATTCAGAAGATGTGGATATGGGCAGCTGTAAGATTTAAGCTAGTGGGGCAACTAACAGGAGAAGAATATTAACTGGATGAATATGAGAAAAACTCCCCAGTAAGCTGGAACCCCCAATCAGTTTAAATGGTCTTTTAAATGGCAAAAGGTCATGCCTTTGTGTAGTGCACATTTGCAACTTTAAAAAAAAAAAACCTTTTCCAATATTGTAGGCCAGCGGGAAGCTGACTGTATTGTTCTTCCCTAAAACAGAAGCCTTGCTGTGTGTGGCGTGTTTTAATTTGATATTCATTTTTTTTACTTGATAATCTTTCACTTCTTACTTACCAAAATGGTGGTTACAATAAGCGTCCGGTTGGCCAGCGAATCTGTAATATTAGTTGATTTGTCCTTTGTATTGTCCGTCATATTAAGACCCATATTTGAATTCCAAACTCCAACCTTAAGGAGAGAAACAAATATTCCTTGGATTACTTAACTTCATCTTGTAAGTTACAGGCCAATGTAGGCATACACATAGATATAGTCAAAGAAAAACACAAACATTGACTTTCCTACACCTTGAAGAAAAGGGACATACAAACTAAGTGAGGAGGTTAACATTTTGTACACAGAGGACAACTGGTCTGCAAGAGGCATGAAAGAGCCAATCAACATGAAACTGAACAGCCATTTCAAAACAAGGGTGGTGTCCTTTGACATAATCTATCACCTACTTACAATGTTGTTTTAACAGCTTTACTTGCGGCGGTTTGACAAAAGTTCATAGCACCATGGCGATTGGATTATGCAATTAAACAGGAGGTTTTACAAATACCCACATATAGTTATTTGACAATGAGCATCTGCCTTGACATAATCCATGGTGATTGGATTAAGGTGGCTGAGTTATCCATGTGGCTGTAAATGATGGGGTATGTTCTTGACACAAGTCCAGTAGAATTTGACTAACTACCACTATCTATCTATCTATCTATCTATCTATCTATCTATCTATCTATCTATCTATCTATCTATCTATCTATCTATCTATCTGCACACAGCACATGTATATTCATATACACAGTATTTTAAAATGTAATTTATTCATATATACATATATATTCATAAATATATTAAATATATATTTTTGTGAAATATTTTTGCATTTCTGCTACTTACCTCGACACTTTTCAATTAACATAATTTTTATGTTTGCTTATCACCTGAGCACGTAGACTAAATAACATAGTCCAACTAAAACACAATGGAGCTGAACTACGGAGGGTGCCACTTTTTGCTTTTTGACTAAGCATTTATTATTTAGCAAACAGTTTGGCTAAAATCATGAGCAGCTTAGCCCTCTGCACAGATCAAACGCTCCCCTTGCGAAAAAAAATCCTATATGTATATATTTTTTTCCTTCTGCTTTATTTCAGTTTGCTAAGTAAATCACCTAGTACGGGGAGGTTGTCAGCCCCTATGAAAAGCCAAGAAGGCAATTTGTTCCATAAGAAATTGACTGTGGAGATTTAATAATACGTTTTAGATGCATAGCAACCAGCCATGCATTTATAAACTCATCCAGCTAACAAGAGGGAGCTTTAATTTAATTTTCCATCATTGCAGGGCCGTGTCCCTTTATTACTTGCTGTGCTGATATGAATAATCAAACACTGGTGTTTCATAACACACATATGATTTATTGAATATAAAAAAATTTGCACTATAAAATAATATATAATAGGCTTCATTGAACTGAAGAAAGAGCCATTTGTTTCTAACACGGCCATAGAGGAGCAGCCTGTGAAATTATTGCCCTTCAGGCCCATGCACAGGGTAAGGTAGAATTGTCATCTTTTTCCTGTTCCGGGTTCCAGTTGCTCCTTTCAGCATGTCATTGCCCTGGAAAAAACTCAGCTAATGCTAAGCCTATCAGCTTTAGCATCCAGCAAGAGCATGTGCAACCTAATTACCCCTGCTAACTGGCTATGTTGCCTGTCTAAATTTGGATTTGAACTAAACACATGCCAAGGATCATGATTCTAGGAAAATCTGCTATAAGTCAACGTTCCTAAAAAGAATGGGCTGTTTACTGGCACATGTAAGGCCACAGATCAGAAGTCTTACATTCCTCAATCTGCATATGATTAAGGGATCATAAGACAACTAAAAAAATTATACAAGTAAGGCCATCACACCCATATGAGCTTGTTGAAAATTCCATTCCAAAGCTATGGACAATAATATACCCTCGTCTGGGAAGGGTTTCTACAAGATTTTAGAGAGTATTTATGGGAATTTGAGCCTGCTTTGCCAAAAGAGCAAGAGTACCTGAGGTCAGGTACTGTTGTTGGATGAAAAGACCTAGCTGACAATCAGCATTACAATTAATTCCAAAGCCCAATAGGGCTAAGGTCAGGGCTCTCTGGAGGCCACTAAAATATCTCCCCATCATGGTGAAATCATGCATTTTATATAGCTGACTTCTTGCACAGGAACACAGAAAAGGGCCTTACCCACACTCTTGCCACTAGGTTGAAAGTGCACAATTGTCTAAAATGTCTTTGTATGCTGTAGCATTATAGCTACCCTTCACTTTAAATGCCTGAACTCAACAATCTGGAGGGGTGTCCCCTTTTGGCCATAGAGGTAGGTGTCATGCTCAGTTGTCCAAAAGCTTTTGTGAAAGCTATAGCATGTCATTTTATCGGAGCATGGAGTTCTCCTTTAGTGAAAAAGAAAACACAAAAAAAATCTGTATACAAAATTGGAGAAGCAAATACACTGCAATCAAAATATTTTTTTTCCTCAGTGTCATTTGGCAAGTAAGACACAGCAGAGAATATTTGGGCCAAATGCCGCAGACCAACCAGTTGGTGATGGCTCGGAAAGGCAGTTTACAAGGTAATCAGTGTTCACTGTTGCAAAAATAACAGCTTGAAGGCTTGAGCCTTGCCAACTGCACACAGATGCAAAACCAGAAGTCTGCCAGGGAGGTCTAGCGGGTGAAAAGATTTAAAATTACATTTTTGAAATAGCAGTAAGGTTTGAAATGGATCTAAACACATTTTCTTTATCAGGACTGTCTCAAAAAATGGTATCCTAAAAAGTATAGAATGTGGGACATAGGAAACTTCAGATTACTTACATCACGTTGGGGATGCCTCCTTTAGCTTGCACACTAAGACATAGAGCAGGATTCAGCATTTTAAAAGAGAACGATGGTGTAACAGCAACCAAAAAAGAAAAAAGTTTTGGGCAGTGCTTAACTACCCAGGCAGTGTTGGTTATATTAAATGCATGACTGGAAATCATCTCTCATTAGTCACTAAAGGAAAATCAATGGGCTAAGCCATGTTTGTCTTCAATAAGCCATGCACGATACTGCAGTGCGGATGGCCACCTACATGCCGCACTCATGCTGGCCAAATACATAACAATACAACTGTTCAATATAATGATAGTTTCAATGAAATAATCACATCCTTCAGAAAACAATACTACAAGTAGGCAGTTTACCTATAAAATATTTATATTAAAGAGAAAATGATTGTCCTATCAGAAAATCTGACTGAGTTTGTTAAAATTGATCTGTAATTAAAAATAAAATAAAGTCTATTATCAAATAATACAAGTTGGTTATTCAGGTTCCAGTTTTACTATACCTGGTGCGTACATGTATAACCATGGAAGGGACATTAACCTGTTATACCCATTGGATGCACTGTAGAATCTATTAATACTTTCTATTTTTAAATAGAGTAAGGAGTAAGTAACGCCTGTCAGATTCTTTTTTTCAGCATCCCTCTCTTTCTATCACTGTAAAAATGTCACCAGGGTAGGTAGTGAGGGAAATCTTTCAAACAGGGACACAATGGCAATAAAAACACTTTCTTTTACTGGTAGGAAAGATGATGACTAGAACCTCAGTTAACTTTTCATTACTGTCTGTATCCAATTAGAATTTTACAGCTCATTCACACCGGATCCGTTTCGTTGAGATCTGTTTTTTAACGGATGCTAACGGAAGGGCATCAAAAAAATAATGAGTATGAATAGGGCAACTGTTCCGTTACTCTGAAAAAAAGTAGAAGATGCACTACTATTTTCAGTGCAACATAAGGCAACGGATCCAGTGTGAACTAGCCCCATTCACACCCATTCATTTTTCGGTGGCCTTCCGTTAGCATCCGTTGAAAAGAGGATTGCATCGCAACAGATCGGAAGTAAATCGGAGTGTATAATAGCAAGTCAACGGACCCTCTGTTTACTTGTGATTTTCTTGTGATTTTGGTGTGAACGGGCCCTCACTATCACTTCTTGCTGCAGTTACATTGGGTACAGCAAGCGAGAAAAAAAAAAAAAGAACAGGGATAAGAGGGGTTCTGACTTTTTCCTACTCTTTTCAAAACTAAAAAAAATAGTTTTGGCTAGGAATATATAGTCTAAGCATTGCAAAATCACTAAAGAAATAACTTTCAGTTGCACACATTCCTCATGTAGCTGAACCCTAAAAAATTTTCTTCGTTCAACTCGTTGGTTCACATTAATTGACGTTCAGTCATGATCATTCTATGGTCTGCTTATCAGCACCCAACGTACTGAGATGACGCTCCGTTTATTTCAGCACTCATCCTAGACCAAGGAAAGTGTTCGCTTCAGGTGTAATATCCACATCATAATAATGAATGTGCCTGTTTTATGCCAGCACATATGTCTGCCTTCACATTCACCCAGGCTATATCTACATAATGAATTCCATCTCTTCTCCCGTGTATGCTTCATGCCCATCATAACACACTGAATAAAGTTTAGTATCAAGGACTAGGCTGTCAGTATTACTCAGAGCTGGCAATGTAATGAGACAGGGAGATGCTGCAAAGCAATGATGCCCACATTATTAAAGCAATGAGCTAGCTGTAACATGGCACGGGCATATCTATGGTCCAATGTTCCTTTCGCAGTATGCAAAACATGCATGGGATACTTAACATAGGCATTGTTTCCAACTTTGTTTATGGCTCAAAACACCATTATTGCACTCAGGCCTGATTTTAGACAAAAGGACACAAATAAAATTGAGGTCTCTTGCAGATTGTTTTGAAATCAATCATTAGGCCTGTATTACATACCTCCCAACTGTCCCACATTTGGACGGACTGTACCTCATTTAGATCCAAATCCCTCTATCCCTCTTTCCTCCTCAGCTGTCCATCTTTTTGGGCTGAAGTACAATATCAATGAAAATTTTCTATTTAACTACCAAAAGTATTATTCTGCCATAAAACCTTCATCTATCAAGTATTTTGTTTGCCAGTATAAATGAAAAATAACCAAATCTGGGTTTAATTATTCATGTTTGGTATTTAAATTCTTAATGTTCTGCATAACTAGGGACATGGCTGGTGTGTTCATTGCTTTAATATATTGGGCTGGAAGATGTCCCTCTTTCCAACCTC